CTGCCTGCTGGACCCCGCGGGCACCTCGCCCCTCCGTCCGGCGGCCGCGCGCTCGGACGCACCCCAGCAGATCCGGGGTGGCGCACACGGGCTTCGCTGAAACCCTCGGTCGATCCCTCGGCCGGCCCTGATACTGTTCATCGTCCTGTTTTGTGTCACAACACCCTGCTACCTTGATTCACTCTTCGTCGTTGGCTAGGTTTTGGATTTATTACTTTCGAGGACGAACAATCAGTGGACCAGGCTGTCAACATGCATTTTCACGACATCATGGGCAAAAAAGTGTGTAGTTGTAGTTTTATTTTACCTTAAGACCAAACCCAGTCTTAGGCAACTTAGGGATTTCACTGGAAATGAAAATCCCTTATCAGGAGGAGGGCCGGGCTAGTCGTCCTGGGACCCTAAGCTGTGGGTTGGGCCCGGTTCTCCCGGAACCGGCTTTCCATCTGGAGCCCCACCTGGGGGCGGGCATGGGGTGGGGGCCCCAGGGTGGGGGGGCTGGCCTCCAGTGAAGTCACAGGTTGCCTCAGGCTTGGTTTCAGTGACCACTCCTTCAGACGTGTGTCCCTTCCCCGATTGTCCTGTGGGGGCCGGTAACGGGCCAGCCGCGAACCTTGGGAGAACAGGGTCTGTGTAAAACTGAAGGCAACGTAAACACCCTGAAGGATTGGTTGTTAATTGGGTCACTTACTGTGGACTCGGTACCAACCACATGCTCCTGGTAGTCCTTAACTCCATGCAGTCAAGTGACCTCTGGTTGTTTCATCTTCATACTGTGTTGCTCCACAGAGGGAAACTCAGAAGTGGCCCGACCCTCATTTTCCCCAGCCCCAGGGAGATTTTTGAGTTTGAACGTAGCTCAAAAATGAGTAACTGGTGGGAACTGTGCAGTTTGCCAGGGCTGAAGGTCCCCCTTTCACAGGGTTCCCACCTCGGGCCCCGAGACCTGCTCAGCACACCCAGCCCTTCTGACAGGCCCCGGCCGACTGGCCGGCTCCAGTGGGGAGGAATCTGGTTCCAGTGTGTCCTGTGCGTCCGCCCCTGGAGGGCAGTGAGATGTAGTCTCAGGCTTCACCAGTTCCACTTGAACCAGACTGTGCAGGAGACAGCTGCACTTTTAGTTTTAGACAGTCATTGAAGCTTTTAGTTTAAAATTAGCACGTGGATTTCAAGGACGCGTGCAGTTACAAACACAAAGTTCAGAGGAGCCCGCGTCCCATGTTTTAAGGCACTGTGACGTTCACAGCCCAGCTCCTGCAGGGGCAAGATGCCTGCTAAGCCACCGGTCTGCCCTGGCCCGGTTTTATGGGTCCCAGCAGTGTCTGGGGCTGGGGGCGCACCTCCAGCGAGGGGTGCACGTGTGGAGGCCGGCTTCCGCCCCCGGGGTGCAAGCTGGAGTGCAAGGAGTGACATCTGCGATCCCGTAGGAAGGGGAGAGGTGGTTTTTGTTTTTTTTTTCTTTTTACCGTTAAAGGCGGGGCTGTCTTTGTCTTTTAGGTTAAGCGACGGAAACCAAAACTTTACCCGTTAAGGGGAAGG